CTCAAGCATTTCTCCACTGGCTCCATGCACTTGAGGAACAGGTCCATGCAGAGCTCCTCGAACCTGGCTCGCGTGATGGTCGCGTAGAAGTCGATCCCCTCGAACAACGAGTCCACCTCGATCGTGGTCTGGGTGGTGGAGGAGAGCGTGCGCTTGGCGCGCTCGCACGCTGTCCGGAGCCTCCGGAGGGCGCGGGCGCTGCCGCTGATGTCCTTCTTGTGCTTGCGCCGGAACTCTGAGACAAAGTGGTTCACGAGACGGTTGTCAAAGTCCTCCCCGCCGAGGTGGGTGTCGCCTGCGGTGGCCTTCACCTCGAAGATCCCCTCCTCGATGGTGAGGAGGGAGACGTCGAAGGTGCCGCCGCCGAGGTCGAAGACAAGCACGTTGCGTTCCCCACGGCCAGAGGCCGCAGTGCGCTTGTCGAGGCCGTAGGCAATTGCGGCGGCAGTGGGCTCGTTGATGATGCGGAGGACGTTGAGGCCAGCGATGACGCCCGCGTCCTTGGTGGCCTGGCGCTGGGAGTCGTTGAAGTACGCGGGGACGGTGACGACAGCGTCTTGGATTGGGGTCCCGAGGAACGACTCGGCAGTCTCGCGCATCTTGGTGAGGACCATGGAGGAGATCTCCTCAGCGGAGAACTGCTTGCGTTCGCCCTTGTAGGAGACGACGATGAGGGGCTTGTCGGAGGGGCCGGGGACGACGGAGAAGGGCCAGAGCTTGGCGTCGGATTGGACAGAGGGGTCGGAGAAGCGGCGACCGATGAGGCGCTTGGCGTCGAAGACGGTGTTGTGGGGGTTGGTGGCAACCTGGTTCTTGGCGGCGTCACCGATGAGGCGTTCGGTGTCGGTGAAGGCCACGTAGGAGGGCGTGGTGCGGTTGCCCTGGTCGTTGGGGATGATCTCCACGCGGTCGTTCAGCCACACGCCGACGCAGCTGTAGGTAGTGCCCAGGTCTATGCCGATCGCCTTGCTCTGCTTCGTGCCACCAGCCATACTAGTTTTATTTTGTTTACTGACAAAAACAAAACAAGAAAGAAAGGGTAATTGATATGTGTAGGATGCTTTGATTTGGTTTGTGATGAGTGATATAGATATGTTTAGAGAAAGTGTGGGCGCGTATAAAAGGTTCGAGCTTTTTTGATCTCTCTCATTTTGGCGGTGAGGTTTATCGGGAAATTTGGCGGTGGGGCCGAATGAGATGTGAGCTGTTGATAAAGCTTCGCTACACGTGGCCATTCTAAGGTTACTTTTAAACAAAAGCTGATAAGATTTGAGGGACTTTTTTATTTTTTCTCCTATCAATAATAATGGAAACTCAAAAAAATTATAGAACTGTCGAAAAAAA